TTACAGGCCCCAGTCCCCATGGTATTGATTGTGTAGAATCAGATCTCAGAGCTCCAGCAGAGAGGGGACTGTTGTTTGGCCCTCCAGTTCTGGGAACAGCAGGTGCAGCAGAAGTAGTGTATGCTTGAAATAGAACACACTCAGACTCCACCCTGGCACCGCATCTGTAAGCTCATGGCTATGGAGACCTGCTTAACCCTTCCTAATCCTGCTTTCCACAACCATGAAAGGCTAGCAGCATCCAGCGACACTGTCATGAGGTTCAGGGATGGTAAATTCAAAGGGTACAGGACAGGGCAAGTCCACAGGCCTTTGCTGAAGGGAAGATGGGTCCATAGACGAGTGGGCAGGTAGACTGACAGACAGACAGATGGACAGACAGATGGATCGGTGGGTGGATATATAGATGGCCATACAGACAGGATATCTTTAAACCAAGCCACTGAAGAGAAGCTGAAGAAAGCAAAACTGTCCATTCTATAAAAATGCATGGCTGTGAGTGGTTTGTGTGGGTGTCTTTGACCCAGTGAGCGTATTCTCCAATGGAGCAGACTCCTGATGGGCAGTGCGTGCCCTGTCTCTACAAGGGTCCAGCTGAAGCAAAAGCTATCACAAATGTAGCACTCTTCTGTGGAAAGCTTCATAGCCTCCACTCGGGGGTCAACTTCCCCAATGGCCATATCTGTCCACTGAGAATCTTTACCTTAAACTTAGACTTTTTAAAAGTACTCTATTTCCCTAATAATGTTCTTTCTTTCTATTTTGTTTTGGTTACATTTTATTTGTTTACTTGCTTATCTGTATATGGGTGTGTGCATGTACACACAGGAGTCAGAGGACAATTTGCAGGAGTGAGTCCTATCCATTTACCATGTAGCTCCCAGGGATTGAATTCATGTCAACAGGCTCGGCAGCAAGTGCCTTTACCCACTGAGCCATCTTACTGGCCCTCTTTGTCGTTTTTCAGTCGCTCTCATGTAGCCCAAAGCTTAGGGTGATGATCTTCCTGCTTCTACATTATGTGTTGGGATTCCAGGATTGTATTACCACACCTGGCTCTAAGTTTTTCTGTAGCATTAATCTGACCAAAATATCCATTTAAAAAACAAGTCTGATGCGAGACCTGCTTGCAGGGTTTTTAAATAAAGCATAGAGCAGCTATGTAACTATTCAAAAGGGAGACCTGTCCTGGCCACATCATAAATTATCTCTCCCATTGTGATGAGAAATGGTTGTGCTGGGTGTGACACTGCAGTAAATATGCCGGAGAGGCCTGCTGGGTCAGGATTCTGTTATTTGAGATATGGCTACAGCCCTGATTGTGCTCTTATTCTCGTGGCCCTTTACAGCCTCCCAGCATATTTCATCTGTGTATTTCATCTAATCCCCATGACAACCCTGGGCAGAGAAGCCACAGACAGAGCCTGGGCCTGCACAGCACAAGATCCACCCAAGCCGTCTGGACAGGCTCAGAGGACCAGGGCCGAGCTTAGAGCTTCCTACCCTGCCCATTTTAGCCCGCCACTGCTTGCCACCGAATCGGTTCCAATCATGGTGGTCTCCAAGAAATCTCACTACTGGAACAACCCAAATATAAACCGTGACCTTCATCCATTGAGAGATAGCCTCATGCCAGGCTCTCCAGACAGAGAATAAATAAGCCCTTCTGAGACCCATTGTGTCACCTTAGCAGCTGGGGAGACCCATATTTTCATTTGGCCATCTGGCCATCCTCAAGCCCGTCTGATGAAGCTGCCAGGCATATTAAAGAACAGTAACAGGCTAAATTCACATGGTTGCTCATGACTCCCATGAGAGAAATGCCTGAAGAAAACTATCTTGGAGCATACAGGCCAGCTAAAAAGTTTCACACAGGGAGGCAGAGTACGTAGGGCCTGGTGAGGTGACGCTCTCAAGGAGTACGAATTCTACCTAAAGGACAAGAGATACCACTGTGGGTTGCACAGCAGGCAGTAAGGACTTTAGCCCTTGCCTTTGCAGTGACGACACAGCTCCCTTTCTCAGAGCCTCACAGGGCAGGCTGCAGGCTATGAGCACAGACCTTACCTCAGCCTGGAGGTAGTATCCTAGTCTCTGGAGATTCTCTGGACTCCATCTCTGTCCTTTCAGGACACTCTAGAGATGAATAGTGCCTACCTGGGATAAAGGGCCACAGGACAAGTCTCCAAAAACCATTGATGAAGCAATGGGCATTCGACCAGGGATGGCCAATTCATAACTCATTTTCAAATATTCAAATCACCCCCAGTCATATGCTATGACTGTTAGTCTTGTTAACTTGACAAGATTGGAGTGATCTAAGAATCTAACCTCTGGGCACAGCTGGGAGGGTGTTTCTAGCGATGTTTCATGCAGGAAAGAATACCTAAGCAATGCCACCCTATGGGCTGATGCCCTTGAACTAAAGAGTTAAAAAGCAAGCAGAAAGCCCACATTCATCTCTCTTACTCACTAACTATGGCTGTAGTGTAACCAGCCATCTCATATTCTTGCCATCCCAGCTAGAACCATTCTCATTAACATCCTTCTCTGCCAGGGAGGATTAGGGGTGGGGATAGAAAGTGGGGGAGGGGGGCTATATTCTCAAACTGTGAATCAAAATGAACTTTTCCTTAAGTTTCAATAACCAACACACACACGCAAATGTTCTCTGACTTCTCACACACATATTTTAAAAGTGGCATCTCAAGGCCTATGATAGGCATGACTGTGAACTCCAGAGCCAAAGCCTTCTTCGCTCTCTGTCCCACACGATAACTCGATGAACGTGCACAATGATCTCATGAGAGCGGAGAATGTCTTCAGTAAATCTGAGCTGTGTCTTGCCTACTGTTATCTGAGTTTTGTTACCTGCAGCCCAATGCATCTCCGTGGGTTTGGACCATAGGGCCCAGAAGCATCATATTAAACTGGAAGGGTAAGGCTTTAGAGTTTATCAACAAAGTGCGCTGCTCAGCGCCTGTGTAATAGGCACCCACGAGGTGCTCCAAATTGCAAGGAGCTCACGCCCACCTCCTTCGTTTTCCCCATCTCTAAGTAAAGGTGATGCTACTTCAGAGCTGGCACTCATACCCTCTAGACACCAAAGAACATTCAAGCTTTGCACGAGAACCTAATCTCCACTTAGTACAGTTGTTACAAACTACACAATACTCAGGAGTAGTATGTTTTCAGGTACCAGGGAGGCACACTGTTGGGGACTTTTCATTGTTCGACAAGATTACAGTGATAACAACATGTGCAAAATACAGGATAGAGATCACAATTTTCTGAGAACTGAGGAGACCCAGGAGGCTGGTAAACACGTGCTGTTAGGACCAGTGACTCAAAGGACTCGATTCACCGGAGTCCTTCCCAGCTCTGGATGAAACCTGGAACACAGGGGCCAATCTCAGGGCAACAGTGACTTGTCACTTTTTAAAAGGATGTGATTACGTGTGCCTAAAAGTAGTAATAGAAGTTAACATTTGTCACACACACAAAGTCTTATAAATGCAGCCAAGTGTGGTAGTGTGTGCCTTTAATCCCAGCAATCAGGAGGCGGAGGTTGGAGGATGTCTGTGAGTTCCAGGCCTGCCTGGTCTACACAGAGCTCCAGGCCAGCTCCAGGCCAGCCGGGGCTATGGAAATTGCTTTCTTCAAGAGCAAAGGCGACGGCTCTAGAGGTTAGTCAGTCACCTGCCTCCCCAGAGGGCCTTTCCTCTCCACAAAGAAATGTCAAGGTCACATCTGGGGGGCGACAGTTTCCATCAGAGCCTTGGACTTGCTAAACCTCCCACTAAAGAAGAGATTGACCTTGAAACACCCCCCTCAGGGGGCGTCAGAGCCCTACACCTCCCACCCTGGCATAGAAAGGCCAGACCGTGCTATAAACCACAGACAGAGATGCTAACTGCCTGCTGGGTAGTGTAAGCAGACCCAAGAGTAAACACCACCGGCCTGAAACATTTTCAGCCCCAGTCAGCAGGGACTTGCAATTTACAGGAAATAAGGTTTACGGAATGTCAGCAGCTCAGATTTCTTCTCTGGGAAAAGGAGCAGGAGAAACTCTTAAGAAGCGCCTCAGTGAAGGCGCTTTGTTCGTAGCTAAGCCCTGACATGTGTCACTTATTAATAATATACACAGCCGCCACCTCGCACATCAGCCCACCCCTGCAGGATGAGGGGACTGCTGAGCTGTATGAATGCACAACACGGGCTGAACTAGCCTTAAACCCCAGCACCACGGACCCTCACTCACCAGAGGCCAGAACAGACCCAGGGTCAAAAGCACAACCCTGGGTAGGTTGTCTGTCCACTTGCCCCTCTCTGAGGCGTCCTGTTTGAAGACTGGCGAGCCCCCATCCAGCGCCCCGTGGTTGTGAGCTTTGCTTTTTAAGTCTCCTCTGCTTACTTCCTCGGCCAGGTAGACCTCCGAAGGCCACAGTTCTGAGCTTCAGAAGTCACGCTCTCTCATTGGGTCCAGAGCGAGCAAAAACCATCCTAGCGGAAGCAGGTTCCCCACTACCGGGAGCCCGTGTCCCAGCACTCTCATCAGACCCCAGTGAAGCTGCCTTCGTCCCCGCTTCACCCCAAGCCCCAAGCCACCTGAGCTCTGCAGGGGGTTCTAACCGGACGTCAAGGGTCCACACAGATACCTACATCTGCTCTTCTAGTCAGTCCTCCCTGACCCTGGAGTAGGGGCTGTCGAGCTCTTGCTCTCTGACACTGCTCTGTCACTCCGCTTGCGCCCCTGCCCTCCGGGCGGGACAGGAGCTGGCCTGACTGAGCCTGACACATTGGTGGGCACCCGGGCCACATCATCTGAGTGCGTGAGCGCAGGCCCCAGCAACCCGAACCGGGGGCGCAGTCCAGAGTTGTCTGTGAAGCAAGCTGCCACAGGAGCGTGCCAACCCGCCGTAGACCCCCTACCCTGGTTAACGCCATTTTAAGCCCCTACCCTACCTACCCCGCAGCCCACCTCCCCGCCGAGTCCTTACCCGGGCAGCCGAGGAGGACCCCCCGGGGATGGGGTGGGGGGTGACTACAGTCAACGGAGTCCGAGCGGCCGGGCCCTCCCCACTGAGGTCGGGGTGATGAGCGACTTGTCCGCGGCACACCGTTACGCGCAGTGGGAAGGACTGAGGCCGCGCACAGCCCGGAGCGGGGCGCCGGGTTGCAGCGCAGCGGCAGCGCGGAGGGCGCGGACCGGGCCACACCTCCAGCCCCGGAACAAAGCGCCCCGCCGGCCTCCTCCCCGCAGGGCTGCCCGGCGGCTCACCGCGCGCTCCCGCCCGGGCTGGGCTCCGGCCCTCGGCCGCCGCCTCCTGGCTCGCACCGGGAGGAGGGAGCGCCGCGCCCGCGCCCGCCCGGGGCCCCGCGCCGCCGACTGACGGCTCCCTGCCAGCTAGCCCGGGCGCCGCCGCCGCCGTCCCCGCCCCGCCGCCGCCTTAAAGCGACCGCGCACCCCGCGCCTCCAACGCCTCTGGGGGGCCGCCACGACCCCAAACCGGCGCCACTGGGGGCGCTGGGACAGCTGGCACCGGGCGAGGGTCCCTCGCCTCCACCCACCGACCTGCTAGCCCGTGAGCCGCCGACGAGCCTGGGACACCTAATGGGAATTCGCACCCCCCCCACCCCCCCAGGCTGTAAAAGAGTCGGAGCTCTAACCTTTAACTCTCCAGCAACTTCAGGACTTGGGGACGCCTCCCCAGTCCTAGATGACTCCTGTCCCCTGAACCCTAGAGTTAAGAGGGCCTAGGGCCTGTGTTAGCTAGGTGCAAGGTTTCAGGCCACAAAGTTCTTGAGAACTGGCCAGCAGACTGGACAGGAGGCGACAGCCCTGCACCATTTCGCGCGACTGTTCCACCCTGTCGGAGCATCCTCACCGCCACCACCCTAGCCCTCCCTTTTACAAGACTTGAGATATGATCACATAACGCTGAATGTACGCTTTTAAAGCGCACATTTTCAGTGGGTTTTGGGGTATAAGTTGTGCAATCGTAGTTATTATCTAATTCCAGAACATCTTGGCCACTACTCCCTTCCCCAACAAATAAAAACCTCTGTGGGTAGCCTCTCCTCATTCTTGCCTCCTCCCAGCCTCTGGAAACCTCTAATCTGCTTTTCAGCCTCCGTGGATTTGCCTATTCAGAACATTTTCTATAAATGGAGTCATGCAGCATGTGATCTCAGCGGCTGGCTTCTTCCACGGTGTTTTCGGGCTTGGATGTATGTGGTCCCGTGTAGAAGCGCCTTAGCCAGACTCATCTCCAACGGTACTAGCCGTTCTCCAGTCGAAGGTTATCTGCTCTTCCACTTTGGGCTGTTAGGAATAAAGTGGCCAGAATGTTACTCTACAGTTTTGATGTAAACTGTAGAGTAACGGTTTGATTTCTCTTGGATACATACGCCTCCAGTGGAATTGCCAGGTCACTTGGGTAACTTTTTTGGGTGGGGGGGGGGGCAGGGAAGAGATCTGTTTCCTAAGCAGCCACAGCATTTTATTTTCCCACCCCTGTCTCCCCAGTGTGTGAATTGTGTGTGTGTGTGTGTGTGTGTGCTCACACCTGCCTGTGGAAGACAGAGGACGACACTGGGCATTGTTCTTCAGGAGCCGTTCACCGTTTTGCCTGGTTCTGATGTATGGTTGGGGGTTGTGGTTGTTCTGGATGTTTTGGGTTGTTTATCTTGTGATGGGGTCGCATTGACCTGGAACCTGCTGAGTAGGCTGAGCTGTGAGGCGATCAGGCTGTCTCAGCCTCCATTCCCAGGTAGGGAGTTGCCTGACTTTAGACACAGCTTTTGTCTCCATTCTTCTTTGTGCCAACACTTGTGACTGTGTGTCTTCTAGGTGCTAGCCACGCCGGTGGGGTGAAGCCGTCTCTTGCTCTAAGACTCAATCCAATCCCATCCCCTACTCCTGAGAGAGGGTCTCCAGTAGCACCACTTCCGCTCCAGGGTCCCATCTGAGGAAATTCTTTCACAAACGAACCTTGATGACTTGGAGCTAGCTTTACCCATCCAGGACTGCCTTAACATTCTGAGTGCCTCTCTTCACCACAGGCCTCAGGGGACCTCAGATCCCTGTATCCTCCAAGCCAGACTGAGATTCTGTGTAGGGCAGGCCTCCCGTGTAATCTGCTGCTCTCAAGAAGCCCAGGGCAGGGAACACACCAGGCGCCTTTGAAAGTGTCTTTCACTGGCAGTAGGGAGTAAATAAAGTGGGTGGGGGGCTTAAAGGTCAGAAGTCCAGCTTGAATGCCTGGGTCTTGCCCTGCCGTTCCCTCTCATTTTGATTTACCACAGGCCTCAGGGAAGGTGGGCAGAGGGTGTTTCATAAGGGCGGAGCTAGGTCTATCCTGTTTCCATACAGAAACCTTCTCATGTCTCCCCAGAAGTGGAACTCACGTCCCTTAGTTGGTGCATTCCTGGGAGCCTTCAACATGAGTCTGGAGTTTTCAGGATGGATTATCTCATTTAGGCTGTCTTCCCTGCTCCTGAACCCTGAGATAAAGCTGAGGCTTAGTTGCTGTCAGACAGCCTTTTAAGAACAGGATTGAGAGAGCAGCAAAAGCTAGTTGTGAAAGTCTGTTCTGGAGGAACTGATACATCACTGAGTGTTGGGCTTACACCAGGGACCTACCTCCCAACGGAGAGGCAATGGAGAGACACGCAGGGCTGTGTGGGAGCCCAGAGAAAATCGTCTAGCCCAAGATGCAGAGGGAGCAAGTGAGATCTGACTGAGCCAGGTCACAAGATATGTGTGTGTGTGTGTGTGTGTGTGTGTGTGTGTGTGTGTGTGTGTGTGTGTAAAACTAAATCCACCAGCCAGGCTAAGAGATATGAGACAAGAGCTTGTATACTGAGGCATGATTCAGCTGAAGCCCTTCCAGCAGATCTGCATGGCTGATCAGGTGTGTCTGAAGCACGACACACCAGACTTCTGGCCAAGGATCCCGAAAGAGCACAGACCAGATTTCATGCCTGGAGGGCTGAGGCCAGTCAGTGAGCCAAGAGCCAATTTCTGAACTAGAAGAAAGGTCAGAGCTGATGGCCTGATACACAATGAGGCCTCCCAGCTAATGACACAGCAGGTATGCTGCTCTCACTGCCCCACCCCCACCCTCACCCCCACCCTCACCCCCACTCTCACCTCCACCTCCACTCTCACCCCCACCCCCACTCCCACTCCCACCCCCACCCCCGGATGGGAACAGACAGGAGCTAATGGGTCAGCTAACCTGGAGTGGGCAGGACCTTCAGGTTTTTCTCTAGGCTCCAGGCTCTGAGCTTCTGCAGGCCCACAAGTGCAAAAGGCCTGAACAGACTTAGTCTAGATGTAAAGAGGTTGCAGGTCCAATCATGCACAGCCCATGGGCCTAGAGATAGGCTCTTCTACCCACAAAGCCTACACACCTCCTGCCATGCCTGTGGCCTGGACAGGCAAGTCACTCGTGAACGTTTGGTGCTAGAGATGCAGGAAGGTGAATAAGCAAACAATCCTTGTTCCAGGTACAGTGTCTTCAGGCTGTGGCCAGAATTGAATCTTGGTGACCCAGAAGCACCAGGTGTAGGCTAGCAAAAGAGGTCTGCAGAGCCCCATGCCAGTTAACCCTCACCTGGCCTTTGTGCTATGGCAAGGTCTTACCTCCTTACTTACGATGTAGCACCAGGAACTGCTGAGGTCTGCTTTCAGAGTTTCTGTGGGGTTTGCCAATTCCTTCTAACCCTCCCCCAGCCTCATTAGGAGTGAAACCCCACAAGAGTTCCTTTTGGGACATTCATAATCCACACCTCCCAGAGGCGCCCTCTTGCTCTCTGGAGCCAGAACAGTTTCTTATGAATCTTCCTACTCACCCCCAAACCCCTCCAAACAGTTGCTCTGGCTCAACTCACAGACCGGTTTATAACCGTGTTTATCTTTCTTTCTTGGAACTTCCAGTCCAGCGACTTTAAACTTTAGGGGTTGCAACCCATAGGGAGAAATAGATTTTGCATTGTGAATAGGAACACACACACACACACACACACACACACACACACACACACACGAGAGAGAGAGAGAGACAGAGACAGAGAGAGACAGAGAGAGACAGAGACAGAAAGTCTTCCAGTCTTCCCAAACAATAGTTATCTCTATTATGTGTGATACTCTGATATGTTCCATTCTATTTCGTGTCATTAAAAATCCATATTTTGACAACCAGAGCCATATTGTAGTAGACTTTTTCAAGAAAGGTCAAGAGAAAATTTCAAAACACATGCTAACAAGAAGAATTTGAGAAAAGTTTTGATTTTCAAAACTCAAGATTTCCTCTTCTAGGGGAGTATAAGCAGGTGAGGACCAGAAAACTCCTGTCACAACAGGAGGGGGATGTCACTCCCATTCCTTTGTCTAAAATATTTGTCAGTTTAGGGTACCAGTTAGTGGCTGTTTGCCCAGAAAGATGTATGATAGAGGAGATAGTGACCAGCAAAGCTTTTACCACATGATGATAGAATGGCAAATGAGAATACAGGAGACCTTGACTAGCTAATTTTGTCTGTGTGATGACTGCCGGATTCTGGGCCCAAGAATGCCTTGAAGAAAACAGAATGAGGGGGGCTGGAGAGATGGCTCAGCAGTTCATAGCACTTGTTTCTCTTGAAGAATATCTGGGTTTGAGTCTTAGCACCCACACAGTGGCTCACAACCATCTGTAATCCTGGGTCCAGGGGATCCTTTCCTTTGGCCTCTGTGGGCAGAAGTACAGATATGGTACATAGACATACAAGATGACAAAGTACCTACACACATAAAACAAACGTAAATAAATCTAGAGGAAGAAGAAAAAGAAGAAGAAAGAAGATGATGACTAAGAAGTTGAGAACAACAGAATTAAGCTTTCCCCAGTCCACAGTGTCTAGAAAACAAAGGCTCCCAAGACATAAGGGCTTGACTCCCACTTCAAGATTCTGAGCAGATTTTGAGGTTCCATGAAGACTGAGCCTGGGCAATGTAATCAGGAACCCCTCAAGGGCAGGGCAAAAATTCCATTGAGGATGCCAAGATCCTCAAGGCTATTAGCTAAAACAAGAATTAAAACCCCACCAGGCAATGGTGGCACACACCTTTATTCACCACACTCAGGAGGCAGAGGCAGATGGATCTTGAGTTCAAGGCCAGCCTGGTCTACAGAGTGAGTTCCAGGACATAAAGTTAAAATAAAATATTTTAAAAAATAAATAAATATAGCTGATAGTGATAGCATATGGGACAGTAGGCCTGGTTTGGACGTTTGGACAGGAGAGTGACAGAAAACCAAGTGGAAAACTGTTTGTAGTGTATCAGATGGACACAGCGGCACACATTTGTAATCCCAGCACTCGGG